TTCCTCCACATACTAGTCGGGTCAGAAAAGACTGGGCTGTCAAAAGTTCCATGCGGTAATCAAATGCGCTGGGGCAGTGTGGGTAGGCAAAAAGAGAACAACGGATCTGTCAGGGTTTCTGGTACTGGCTATCCTGTCTCGGGGCGATGGATTCACAAGTCACCACCAGAACAAAGGTTTTGGTGGCAGAAAGGACAACTGCAACTCTTTCTGATGATGCTAGTGGCAGTGGTAGTAGCTTTTGGGTGTTGCATGCGGGTTAGCTGCGACGAATCCAGATGTCGAGTATGCGCATACGGCTGGGAAGACCGGTGAGGTGTCTGAATATTCGCAGTCAGTACAGACAGGTGTGACGGGTTCGAACTAAGAGTCACTCTGGCGGTGCGCACCAATTCTGGCCCACCCTTTTTCTTTTTTTGACGCATGTATGTATAAATGTTTTTACTAATGTTTGGCGGTTTCAAGAAAAGGCTTTCGCTTTCGCTTCTAAAAGCAACGCTCGAACTGTGCGACAAAAGATGAGGGACACTAAAATGTCCGCTTCTGGTTTATTAAGCATCATTAGTGACTGATAATCCAGAGCTTCAAGGAAAAATGGTAGTGCCCATTCTCGGTCCACAATTAAGGTACACAGGTTAACGCCCCTCCATGTGTCCGAGAGACAGCACATGTGGAAATAGAGCATTTTAGGCTTTGAGAGGTATGCACTATTCTCACGATATTTACTGAAAAAAAACAAATAGACAAAAGGAGTTTCTCGCACAAGCAGAGGAATAAGCGCTCAGTACCACGAATAAGATTAATTCACAATGTGACAATTACCTTCTCGTAACGGACAGGCTAGTCACTACTTGCTTGAGGGCCCGCCACTGAGACCTCTATCATTATCACCTGTTCCCTAAACTTGGTTGCAAGCCATCATTATAAAGATAGTTTTTTTTAATTTTTCAGGAGTTCGTTGACAAACCCCTTCGAAGTACTTTGTTTCGGTCGCTTAGGTTCCTCTGAAATAAATTTCTAACTCGAAGTAGATTAGTCTATTCAAGGTTCTATAGGCGTGGACCAAAATTCGATATAAATATTTGGGCAGCTGTAAAATACCGACGAAGCACGTGTCTGGGCCTTTAGCTAGTCCGTGTGCTGCCACTATGGTTAATAATACCGTAGTGCTTTGTGTGTTACCGGTTGTTTAAAAAACAGAACAGAGTCAGGCTCCTGTCATGTCTGTTTGCATCTGATAACTGAACCTTGGCTACCTTACTTTCAGGCTTCAAGAAGGTAAAGAGGATTAAGTGTGTGAACTACCGTGGCATAGGTCTCACGAGCACTCCTGAAAAAGCTCTCATCATTGTCCTTCTTAGGCGACGAGAGGGGCTGAGTGCCTTGTTTCTAATGCTTGCCAATGTGATAAGGCTATGGCGACCCATGTTCGTTTTGAACGATATTTGCATTACTGCCACACGAAAGTAACTATACACACTTGCTACAAAATGGAAACAAATAAGCGGGAGAGGCATGCAGTCCGTGGGTATTTTGGACTTCACAATTTATGTCGATAAACTACGTGGTCGGGAAACCACGTTCATTCAAGACACAATGCATTGAAGGCCTTCAAGGTTTGGCGTTAGCAAGACAATTTAATCAACCGAGTCCATGTGAAAATTTAATACAGTCTAAATTGCACAGAAGTCTTTTGAGAATTTAGTGAACTATGTAGTCAAATAACCTGCCTAAGAAAATATATACTTGACGATTGACCGACGAAATATAATAGACTTAAGAGTTTGTGAAAAAAGCAGGGGTATGGAGAGAGAGACATAACAGACATCAGTCGTAACCATTAATCTTGCCAGCACAGTCTAAATTCATTATCAACACAGGGACCAATTAGGAAATAATTCGAATGGTAAGGCGAGATCAGCAACATAGGTGCTTCTAATGATAGAATTGAAAGAGTCGCCACGGCGTTAAAGTAAATGCATCCACGGCGAGCATCAGAATCAACATATTATTCGACCGTTCGCGCAACTTAAGAAGGAAAATTGTGGGGTTTTTTCAGGAGTGCTGCGAAGGAGTTTATCAACGATTTATTGAAAAATAGAAAGATATCTTTCTAACCATGCTCTCAACTGACACTAGGGAGCAGGCGGAGATGATAGAGATATTCGTAACAGATCCATTCTATTGTGTATACACTAACCGGATATTAAAGGGCTCTCAAGCAAGCAATGCTTATCTTATCCATTACGAAAGCATACTTACCACAGCGTTTTTGCCAAGATAGGGGACATAGACCACTTTGCTAGAGGAAATATTTTGTCCCGGCGACCTTGCCCTCACGGCAGCCAGGACTTCAATACGGATATCAGAAAGGCTGTGATGGCAAAGACTACATAGCCGGACTTTCGGTATAAGAATAGGCTTAATTTCTTACCTGCTAACACCGAGTGCCAAGGACTCGCTCCCGATTGAGGGACTGAACTTTTTTAGTACTATTCTGTCATAACGGACCAAAATTGTGGAATGCTGTGGAAGCCGCCGTCAGAGCCGCGACACGCATCACAATAGCGTGCTTTGGTTTTCACTTATAAGGCCTCCTAGGAACTATCGGTACCAGCGGGCTTCCAACAACCTTCAGGCTTGGTTGTTTGATGTCATCTGCTCTGCGGTTTTGGCTCTTTTAAACCTAAAGGTAAGACGGCGACGAGAAGGCCTACTTAATAGAGGCTAAGGTGTACACTATGTCAGCATCGGAATGCTCAGTTTTATAGGGCCGTTGGCATGCCAGATCTTAATTTTCCACAGGTTAGTAACATTGCTATCGTAGATTAGCGAGCGCATAGAATGCTGTCCCTTTCGGAGTTAGATTTAAACGAAGGCAAATTCGTTATCTGTCCCCAATTGAAAGCTACGCCCGAAAAGCATTAACGGAAATTAAAAAGGCATCAGTACTAAACATGGAACGTAT